TGAAATTTTCATCCTCTTTAAAAAGTAGTAATTCAAAGAAAAAAAAGTTTTTGATATTTCATATCCCTGGTGGGATTCGAAACCACGACTTTTGGATTAGAAGTCCAACGCTCTATCCACCGCGATACAGGGACGCAACGACAAACTTCACTTATTAGGTAATGTGACATGTATTCATAGTCTTGCTAATAAAGCAATAATGTTAAAAAAAATATATGCACAGATACTTGATCATCCCTGGTGGGTTTCGAACGCACGACCTTTGGATTAGAAGTCCAACACGCTATCCACTGCGCTACAGGGGCTCAATAACAACTTTCACTTATTAGGTAATGTGAAGGGTATTCATCCTTTTCAATAAAGTGTAGTTTAAAAATAAATGCACGAATATTTGATAATCCTGGAGGTTGAACCCACGACCTTTGGATTAAAAGTCCACTGCGCTACAGGGACGCAAAGACAAATTCGACTTATTAGGTAATGTGACAGGTATTCTTCCTCTTGCTAAAAATTAGAAATGTTTAAGAAATAAATGCACAGATATTTGATCATCCCTGGAGGATTCGAACCCACGATCTTTGGATTAGAAGTCCAAAGCGCTATTCACTGTGCTACAGGGACGCAACAACAAAATTCACTCTTTAGGTAATGTGACATGTATTCATCCTCTTGTTAAAAAAATAGTAATATTAAAAAATAAACGCATAGATGTTTGATCATCCCTGGTGGGATTCGAACCAACGATCTTTGGACCAGAAGTCCAACGCGCTATCCACTGCGCTACAAGGACGCAAGGACTCGTTTCACTCATTAGGTAATGTGACAAGCATTCATCCTCTTGTTAATAAAGATTAAAAATGTTAAAAAGAAAATAAATGCACAGAGATATTTGACCAACGCGCTATGCACTGCTCTACAGGGATGAGATGACAAATTTCACTCATTAGGCAATGCGAGAGTATTTATCGTCTTGATAATACAGTAGTTATGTTTAAAAAAATAAATGCACAGAAATTTGATCATCCCTGGTGGGATTCGAACCCACGACCTGGATTAGAAGTCCAACGTGCTATCCACTGCGCTACAGGGGACGCAAAACAAATTTCACTTATTGGTAATGTACGGTATTCACCTCTTGCTAATAAAGTAGTAATGTTTAAAAAAAATAAATGCACAGATATTTGATATTCCATGGAGGGATTCGAACCCACGACCTTTGGATTAGAAGTCCAAAGCGCTATCCACTGCGCTAAAGGGACGCAACGACATATTTCACTTATTAGGTTATGTGACAGGTTTTCATCCTCTTTCTAATAAATTAGAAATGTTTAAAAAATAAATGCACGGATATTTGATCATCCCTGGAGGATTCGAACCAACGATCTTTGGATTAGAAGTCCAACGCGCTATCCACTGCGCTACAAGGACGCAATGACTCGTTTCACTCATTAGGTAATGTGACAAGCATTCATCCTCTTGTTAATAAAGATTAAAAATGTTAAAAAGAAAATAAATGCACAGAGATATTTGACCAACGCGCTATGCACTGCTCTACAGGGATGCAATGACAAATTTCACTCATTAGGCAATGTGAGAGTATTTATCGTCTTGATAATAAAGTAGCAATGTTTAAAAAAATATATACACACATATATTTTATCATCCCTGGATAGATTCGAACCCACGACCTTTGGATTAGAAGTCCAAAACGCGATCCACTGCGCTACAAGGACGCACTGACTAATTGAATTAATTAGGTAATGTGACAGGTATTCATTCTCTTGCTAATAAAGTAGTAATGTTTAAAGAAATTAAATCACAGATATTTAAATCATCCCTGGTCGGTTCGAACCCAAGACCTTTGGATTAGAAGCCCAATTCGCTATCCACTACGCTACAGGGACGCAATGTCTAAATTTACTCATTGGGTTATGTGACATGCATTCATACTCTTGCTAATAAAGTAGTAATGTCTAAAAAAAATAAAAGAACTGATATTTCGTCTTCCCTGGTGGGATTCGAACGCACGACTTGGAGTAGAGCCCAAACGCGCTATCCACTCCCTACGGCCCGCACAAAAATTTCATAGGTAATGTGACAGGTATTCATCTTCTTGCTAAAAGTAGTAATGTTTAAAAAAAATAATTGCACGCACATAGAGAGATATTTGATCATACCTGGTGGAATTCGAACCCACATTGTTTGGATTGGAAGTCCAAAGCGCTATCCACTGTGCTACAGGGATGCAACGACTAATTTCACTAATTAGGCAATGTGAGAGTATTTATCGTCTTGATAATAAAGTAGTAATTTTAAAAAAAAATAAATGCACAGAAATTTGATCATCCCTGACGGGATTCCAACCCCGACCCTTTGGTTAGAAGTCCAACGCGCTATCCACTGCGCTACAAGGATGCAACGACAAATTTCACTTATTAGGTTATGTGACAGGTATTCATCCTCTTGCTAATAAAGTAGTAAAGTTTAAAAAATAAATCACACAGATATTTGATCATCCCCGGTCAGATTCGAACAGACAACCTTTGGATTAGAAGTCCAACGCGCTATCCACTGTGCTACAGGGACGCAAAGATAAATTTCACTTATTAGGTAATGTGAAGGTATTCATCCTCTTGCTAATAAATTAGAAATGTTTAAAAAATAAATGCACAGATATTTGATCATCCCTGGGATTCGAACGCACAACCTTTGGATTAGAAGTCCAACGCGCTATCCACTGCGCTACTGGGACGCTATAACAAATTTCACTTATTAGGTAATGTGACAGGTATTCATCCTCTTGCTAAAAGTAGTAATGTTTACAAAAAAAATCACAGATACTTGATCATCCCTGGTGGGATTCGAACCCACGAACTTTGAATTAGAAGTCCAACGCGCTATCCACTGCGCTACAGGGACGGTACCACAAATTTCACTTAATAAGTTATGTGACAGGTATTCATCCTCTTGCTAATAAATTAGAAATGTTTAAAAAATAAATGCACTGATATTTGATCATCCCTGGGGGATTCGAACGCACGACTTTTGGATTAGAAGTCTACCGCGCTATCCACTGCGCTACAGGGACGCTATAACAAAATTCACTCCTTAGGTAATGTGACATGTATTCATCCTCTTGCTAATAAAGTAGTAAAAAAAAAATAAATGCACAGATATTTGATCATCCCTGGTGGGATTCGAACCCACGACCTTTGGATTAGAAGTCCAATGCGCTATCCACTGCGCTACAGGGACACAAGGACTGATTTCACTCATTAGGTAATGTGACAAGTATTAATTATCTTGCTAAAAGTAGTAATTTTAAAAAAATAAATGCACGGATATTTGATCATCCCTGGTGGTATCCGAACCAACGATCTTTGGAATTAGAAGTCCAACGCGCTATCCACTGCGCCAGCCAAGGACGCAAATGACTTGTTTCTCCTCTATTAGGTATCAGTGGGACAAGCATCTTCATCCCTCTCTTTGTTAATAAAGACAAAATGTTAAAAAAGAAATAAATGCACAGAGATATTTTAATCTAAACGCGCTACATGCAGACCGCTCTACAGGGATGCAAATTTTACAAATTTCAACAATTTATTAGGTAATGCATAGGTGTATTCATCCTCATGCTAATAAATTAGAAATTGCTTATAAAAATATATGCACAGATATTTGATTATCCCTGTTGGGATTTGAACCCACGACCTTTGGATTAAAAATCCAATTCATTATCCACTGGTGTATACAGGGAAACAATGTAATTTTACTCATTGTGTGTAATGTGACATATTCATCCTCTGCTAAATAAAGTAGTAATGCTCCAAAGAAAAGCATTGATATTTCATATCCCTGGTGGGATTCGAACCCACGACCTTGGATTAGAAGTCCAACGCACTATCCACTGCGCTGCTGTGCGACGCTATAACAAATGCAATTTACTAGGCAATGTGAAAGGTATTCATCCCTCTACAAAAGTAGTAATGCTTACAAAAAAAAAAATTCAATGATATTTTACCATTCCTGGTGGGACTAAACCCAATGACTTTGATTAGAAGTCCAACGCGCTATCCACTGCGCTACAGGGACATGCAAACGGACAAATTTCACTATTAGGTAATGTGACATGTATTCATCCTCTTGCTAATAAATTAGAAATGTTTAAAAAATAAATGCACAGATATTTGATCATCCCTGAGGATTCGAACCCACGACCTTGGACAGGAAGTCCAAAAGCGCTATCCGCTACAAAGGCTAAAGTGGGACGCAAACGACACATAATTCAATTCTTCTTAGGTAATGTGACAGGTATTCATCCTCTCTAATAAATTACTAAATGTTAAAAAAAAAATAAATGCACAGATATTTAAACATCCCGATGGGATTCGAACCCACGACCTTTGATTAGAAGTCAAACGCGCTATACACTCCCAGGCTACAGGACGCAAAGACTAATTTCACTCATTAGGTAATGTGACATGTATTTATCCTCTTGCTAATATAGTAGTACTGTTTCAAAACAAAAGCACAGATATTTCATCATCCCTCTGTGGATTCCAACGCACAACATTTGATTAGTGGTAACGCGCCATCCACTGCGGCACACGCACAATGGCAATTTCACCTTTTATGTAATGTGACAAGTATTCATTAGTCTTGCTAATACCCGTAGGTACGGTGCCAAAAAATATGGCACATATATCATGCCCTCAGGGTTTGAACCACGACCTTTGGATTAGAAGTCCAACGCGCTATCCACTGCGCCACAGGGACGTAAATAAACAATTTCAATTATTAGGTAATGTGACAGGTATTCATCCCTCTACAAAAGTGGTAATGTTTAAAAAAAATTCACAGATATTTGATCATCCCTGGTGGGATCTGAAACCCAATGACCTTGATTTAGAAGTCCAGCTTCCCGCAACTACACTGCGCCACAGGACGCAAATAAACCAATTTCACTTATTAGCTATGTGACAGGCATTCATCCCTAATAAAGTAGTAGTGTTTAAAAATATAAATCACACAGATATTTGATCATCCCTTGTCGATTCGAACCCACGACCTGGATTAGAAGTCAACTGCGCTACAGGGATACAAAGAGAAATTGACTTATTAGGTAATGTGACATTGCGTATTCATCCTCTTGCTAATAAATTAGAAAATGTTCAAAAATAAATGCGAAGATATTTGGATCATCCCCAGTGGTATTCGAAACCAGGACCTTGATTGGAAGTTTAAAGCGCTATCCACTGCGCTACAGGGACGCAATGACAAATTTCACTCATTAGGTAATGTGACATGTATTCATCCCTCTCTTGCTAACACAAAGCGGTTGCTTATAAAAATATATACAGATATTTGGATCATCCCTGTTGGGATTTGAACTAATGACCTTTGGATTAAAAATCCACCATTATCCACTGTGCTACAGGACGCAATGTTCTTACCTATTGTGTAATGTGACATGTATTCATCCTCTTGCTAATAAAGTAGTCATGTCTAAAGAAAATAAAACCACTGATATATCATATCCCTGGTTGGATTCGAAACCACGACTTTTGGATTAGAAGTCCAACGCGCTATCCACCGCGATACAGGGACTTAACGACAAACTTCACTTATTAGGTAATGTGACATGTATTCATCCTCTTGCTAATAAAGCAGTAATGTTAAAAAAAAATATATGCACAGATACTTGATGATACCTGGTGGGATTCGAACCCACGACCTTTGGATTAGAAGTCCAGCGCGCAATCCTTTGCGCTACAGGGACGCAACGACTAATTTCACTTATTAGGTTATGTGACAGGTATTCATCCTCTTTTTAATAATCAGTAGTAATGTTAAAAAGAAAATAAATGCACAGAGATATTTGAATAACGCGCTATGCACTGCTCTACAGGGACGCAATGACAAATTTCTCTTATTAGGTTATGTGACAGGTATTCATGCTCTTGGTAATAAATTAGAAATGTTTAAAAAATAAATGCCCAGATATTTGATCATCCCTGGTGGGATTCGAACCCACGACCTTTGATTTAGAAGTCCAACGCGCAATCCACTGCGCTACAGGGACGCAATGACTAATTTCACTTATTAGGTTATGTGACAGGTATTCATCCTCTTTTTAATAATCAGTAGTACTAAAAATAAAAATAAATGCACAGATATCGAATAACGCCATGCACTGCTCTACAGGGACGCAATGACAAATTTCACTAATTAGGCAATGTGAGAGTATTTACACGTCCATAATAAAGTAGTAATTTTGAAAAAATAAAATGCATGTGAAATTGATCATTCCTGGCGGGATTCCAATCCACGACCTTTGGATTAGAAGTCCAACGCGCTACAGGGACGCAATGACAAATTTCACTTATTAGGTAATGTGACAGGTATTCATCCTCTCTCTAATAAATTAGTAATGTTTAAAAAAAATAAATGCACACATACACAGATATTTGACCATCACTGGTGGATTTCGAACCCATGACCTTTGATTTAGAAGTCCAACGCGCTATCCACTGCGCTACAGGTACGCAATAACAAATTTCACTTATTAGGTAATGTGACAGGTATTCATCCTATTGCTTAAAGTAGTAATGTTTAAAAAAAATGCACAGATATTTGATCATCCGTGGTGGGATTCGAACCCACGACCTTTAGATTAGAAGTCCAACGCGCTATCCACTGCGCTACAGGGACGCAACGACTAATTTCACTTATTAGGTTATGTGAAAGGTATTCATCCTCTTGCTAATAGAATAGTAGTGTTTAAAAAAAATAAATCACACAGATATTTGATCATCCACGGTCGGATTCGAACCCACGGTTTTTGATTTGGAAGTCCAACGCGCAATCCACTGCGCTACAGGGACGCAACGACTAATTTCACTTATTAGGTTATGTGACAGATATTCATCCTCTTGCTAATAAAGTAGTAGTGTTTAAAAAAAATAAATCACACAGATATTTGATCATCCCCGGTCGGATTCGAACGCACGACATTTGGATTAGAAGCGCAACGTGCTATCCTCACCTCGCTACAGGGACGCAATGACTAATTTAATTATTTAGGTAATGTGACAAGTATTCATCCTCTTGCTAATAAAAAGTAGCAATGTTTAAAGAAATATATACACACATATATTTTATCATCCCCGGTGAGATTCGAACCCACGACCTTTAGATTAGAAGTCCAACGCGCTATCCACTGCGCTACATGGACGCACTGACTAATTGAATTAATTAGGTAATGTGACAGGTATTCATTCTCTTGCTAATAAAGTAGTAATGTTTAAAAAAAATTAAATCACAGATATTTGATCATCCCTGGTCGGATTCGAACCCACGACCTTTGGATTAGAAGTCCAATTCTCTATCCACTACGCTACAGGGACGCAATGTCTAAATTTACTCATTGGGTTATGTGACATGCATTCATACTCTTGCTAATAAAGTAGTAATGTCTAAAAAAAATAAAAGAACTGATAATTCGTTATCCCTGGTGGGATTCGAACGCACGATCTTTGGATTAGAAGTCCAACGCGCTATCCACTGCGCTACAGGGACGCAATAAAAAATTTCACTTATTAGGTAATGTGAGAATTTTTCATCCTCTTGCAAAAAATAGTAATTTTTAAAAAAAATCACAGATATTTGATCATCCCGGGTTGGGTTTTAAACCCCCAAAACCTTTGAATTAATCCAACCCTATCCCCCTGCGCTCAGGGAGGGCCAAAATTTTTATTTAATTTTAAATGTGACAGTATTCATCCTCTTGCTAATAAATTAGAAATGTTTAAAAAAATAAAGCACTGATATTTATATCCCGGGATTTGAACCACGACTTTTGGATTAAAGGCCCGCGCTATCCCCCGCGTACAGGGACGCTATACAAATTCACTTTAGGTAATGTGACAAGTATTCATCCTCTTGCTAATAAGTAGTAATTTTAAAAAATAAATGCACAGATATTTGATCATCCCCTATGGGATTCGAACCCACGACCTTTGGATTAGAAGTCAACGCTATCCACTGCGCTACAGGGACGCAGACTTATAATTAAGTAATGTGACAGTATTATTGTCTTGCTAATAAAGTAATGTTTAAAAAAATAAATGCACAGATATTTGATCATCCCTGGTGGAATTCGAACCCACGACCTTTGGATTAGAAGTCCAACGCGCTATCCACTGCGCTACAGGGACGCAATGACTAATTTCACTCATTAGGTAATGTGACATGTATTCATCCTCTTGCTAATAAAGTAGTAATGTTAAAAAAAAAAATATAATCATCCTGGGATTCGAACCCACGACTTTTGATAGAAGTCCAACGCGCTATCCACTGCGCTACAGGGACGCAATGACAATTTCACTCATTAGGTAATGTGACAAGTTTTCATCCTCTTGCTAATAAAATTAGTAATGTTTATAAAAGTATATGCACAGATATTTGATCATCCCTGTTGGATTTGAACCACGACCTTTGGATTAAAATCAATTCATTATCCACTGCGCTACAGGGACGCAATGTGTAATTTTACTCATTGTGTAATGTGACATGTATTCATCCTCTTGCTAATAAAGTAGTAATGTCTAAAAAAAAAAGCACTGATATTTCATATCCCGTGGATTGAACCCACGACTTTGATTAGAAGCCAACGCACTATCACTGCGCTACAGGACGCAATGACAAATTTCATTTATTAGGTAATGTAAAGGGTATTCATCCTCTTTGCTAAAAAGTAGTAATGTTTAAAAAAAAATCACATGATATTTTATCATCCTGGAGATTCGAACCCACGACCTTTGGATTAGTAACGCGATCCACTGCGCTACAAGGGACGCAACGACAAATTGAATTATTAGGTAATGTGACAGTATTCATCCTCTTGCTAATAAATTAGAAATGTTTAAAAAATAAATGCACAGATATTTGATCATCCCTGGAGGATTCGAACCCACGATCTTTGGATTAGAAGTCCAAAGCGCTATCCACTGCGCTAAAGGGACGCAACGACAAAATTCACTCCTTAGGTAATGTGACAGGTATTCATCCTCTTGCTAATAAATTACTAATGTTAAAAAAAATAAATGCACAGATATTTAATCATCCTGATGGGATTCGAACCCACGACCTTTGGATTAGAAGTCCAACGCGCTATCCACTGCGCTACAGGGACGCAAAGACTAATTTCACTCATTAGGTAATGTGACAAGTATTCATCCTCTTGCTAATAAAGTAGTAATGTTTAAAAAAAAAAGCACAGATATTTCATCATCCCTGGTGGGATTCCAACGCACGACATTTGGATTAGAAGTGCAACGCGCTATCCACTGCGTTACTGGGACGCACAATGGCAAATTTCACTCTTTATGTAATGTGACAAGTATTCATTGTCTTGCTAATAACGTAGTAATGTTAAAAAAATATATGCACATATATTTGATCATGCCTGGTGGGTTTCGAAACCACGACCTTTGGATTAGAAGTCCAACGCGCTATCCACTGCGCTACAGGGACGCAACAACAAATTTCAATTATTAGGTAATGTGACAGGTATTCATCCTCTTGCTAAAAGTAGTAATGTTTAAAAAATTCACAGATATTTGATCATCCCTGGTGGGATTCGAACCCACGACCTTTGATTTAGAAGTCCAACGCGCAATCCACTGCGCTACAGGGACGCAACAACTAATTTTCACTTATTAGGTTATGTGACAGGTATTCATCCTCTTGCTAATAAAGTAGTAGTGTTTAAAAAAATAAATCACACAGATATTTGATCATCCCCGGTCGGATTCGAACCCACGACCTTTGGATTAGAAGTCAACTGCGCTACAGGGATACAAAGAGAAATTCGACTTATTAGGTAATGTGACAGGTATTCATCCTCTTGCTAATAAATTAGAAATGTTCAAAAAATAAATGCGAAGATATTTGATCATCCCCAGTGGTATTCGAAACCAGGACCTTTGGATTGGAAGTTTAAAGCGCTATCCACTGCGCTACAGGGACGCAATGACAAATTTCACTCATTAGGTAATGTGACATGTATTCATCCTCTTGCTAATAAAGTAGTAATGTTTATAAAAATATATGCACAGATATTTGATCATCCCGGTGGGATTCGAACCCACGACCTTTGGATTAAAAACCCAACGCTTATCCACTGGCTACAGGGAGCTAAAAACTTTCACTTTTGGGGAATGTGAAAGGTATTCATCCCTCTTGCTAAAAGTAGTAATGTTTAAAAAAAATTCACAGATATTTGATCATCCCTGGTGGGATTCGAACCCACGCCCTTTTGGATTAGAAGTCCAACGCGCTATCTCCCGCGCTACAGGGACGCAACGAAAATTTTCACTTATTAGGTAAAAGTATTCATCCTCTTTTTTTAATAAATTAGAAATGTTTAAAAAAAAAATACAGATATTCGATCATCCCGGGAGGATTCCCCCGATCTTTGGATAAAGCCCAAAGCGCTATCCCGCCTACGGGGCCCGGGACTATTTTCACCATTGGAATGTGACAAGTATTAATTGCTTGCTAAAAGTAGTAATTTTAAAAAATAAATGCACGGATATTTGTCACCCCTTTTGGGATTCAACCCAAGGGTTTTTGGTTAGAAGTCCAACCCCTACCCCACTCGCTACAAGGACGCTGACTATTTCACTCATTAGGTAATGTGACAAGCATTCATCCTCTTTTAAAAAAGATTAAAATGTCTAAAAAAAAATTTGCACAGAGATATTTGCCCAAACGCGCTATACACTGCCTACGGGGATGCCGAAAATTTCCTCAATAGGCAATGTGAGTATTTATTCTTTATAAAAAGTAGTTATGTTTAAAAAAATAAATGCAAAATTTGATCGTCCCTGGTGGGATTCGCTGGGACGCAACGAAAAAATTTAAATTATTAGGTAATGTCACAGGCATCCCTTGCTAAAAGTAGTAATTTTAAAAAAAAATGCAGTTTTTTTGATCATCCATGGTGGGATTCAAACGACCTTTGGATTAAAGCCCAACGCGCTATCCACTGCGCCAGGCACGCAATAACAAATTCCACTTATTAGGTAATGTTACAGGTATTATCTTTGCTTAAAGTAGTAATTTTAAAAAAAAATGCACAGATATTTGAACACCCCTGGTGGGATTCAACCCACGACCTTTGGTTTAAAAGGGCCCAAACACGCTATCCACTGTGTTACAGGGACGCAAACAAATTTCATTTTTTGGGGTTATGTGACATGTATTCATCCTTTTGATAATAAAGTGTAATTTTTAAAAAAAAAATAACTACAGATATTTGATCATCCCTGGTCGAATTCGGACCCACTTGGGGTTAGAATCCACCGCGCTACAGGGACGCAAACTAATTTCACTACTAGGAAATGTGAAAAGTTTTCATCCTTTGAGAATAAAGTAGTAATGTTTAAAGAAAATAAAAGCACAGATATTTGATCACCCCCTGGTGGGATTTGAACCCACGCCCTTTTGGATTAAAGTCAATTCCTTCCACTACGCTACCGGGACGAAATTCAAAATTTATCAGGGTTATGTGACTCATTCATACTCTTGTTAATAAAAAGTAGTAATGTCTAAAAAAATAAAAGAACTGATTTTGTCATCCCAGGTGGGTTTCAAGGGAACGACCTTTGGGTTATGCCCAACGCGATACAATGCACTACAGGAAACAATGACTCGTTTCATCCATTAGGAAATGTGAAACATTCATCCTCTTGTTAATAAAAAAAAATAAAAAAAAAAAAATAAATGCACAAAAAACCAACGCGCTATGCACTGCTCTACAGGGATGCAATGACAAATTTTACTCATTAGGCAATGTGAGAGTACTTATCGTCTTGATAATAAAGTAGATATGTTTAAAAAATAAATGCACAGAAATTTGATCATCCCTGGTGGAATTCGAACCCATGACCTTTGGATAGGAAGTCCAACGCGCTATCCACTGCCCTACAGGGACGCAACGACAAATTTCAGTTATTAGGTTATGTGACAGGTTTTCATCCTCTTGCTAAAAAGTAGTAGTGTTTAAAAAATATATGCACACAGATATTTGATCATCCCTGGTGGGATTCGAACCCACGACCTTTGGATTAGAAGTCCAACGCGCTATCCACTGCGCTACAGGGACGCAATAACAAATTTCACTTATTAGGTAATGTGACAGGTATTCATCCTATTGCTAAAAGTAGTAATGTTTAAAAAAAATGCACAGATATTTGATCATCCCTGGTGAGATTCGAACCCACGACCTTTGATTAGAAGTCCAACGCGCTATCCACTGCGCTACAGGGACGCAATGACAAATTCCACTTATTAGGTAATGTGACATGTATTCATCTTCTTGCTAATAAAGTAGTAGTGTTTAAAACAAATAAATCACACAGATATTTGATTATTCCCGGTCGGATTCGAACCCACTACATTTGGATTAGAAGTGCAACGCACTATCCCCACTTCTCTACAGGGACGCAATGACTAATTTCAATCATTAGGTAATGTGACAGGTATTCATTCTCTTGTTAATAAAGAGTAAAAATGTTAAAAAGAAAATAAATTCACAGAGATATTTGACCAACGCGCTATCCACTGCGCTAAAGGGATGCAATGACAAATTTCACTCATTAGGCAATGTGAGAGTATTTATCGTCTTGATAATAAAGTAGTTATGTTTAAAAATATATGCAGAGATATTTGATCATCCCTGGTGGGATTCGAACCCACGACCTTTGGATTGGAAGTCCAAAGCGCTATCCACTGTGCTACAGGGATGCAACGACTAAATTCACTAATTAGGTAATGTGACATGTATTCATCCTCTTGCTAATAAAGTAGTAATGTTTAAAAAACAAAAGCACAGATATTTCTTTATCCCTGGTGGGATTCAAAACGCACGACATTTGTACTAGAAGTGCAACGCGCTATCTACTGCGCTACAGGGATGCAATGACTACTTTAATTAATTAGGTAATGTGACAAGTATTCATTCTCTTGCTAATAAAGTAGTAATGTTTAAAAAAAAATTAAATCACAGATATTTGATCATCCCTGGTGGGATTCGAACCCACGACCTTTGGATTAGAAGTCAAACGCGCTATCCACTGCGCTACAGGGACGCAATGACTAATTTCACTCATTAGGTAATGTGACAAGTATTCATCCTCTTGCTAATAAAGTAGTAATGTTTAAAAAAAAAAGCACAGATATTTGATCATCCCTGGTGGGATTCGAACCCACGACCTTTGGATTAGAAGTGCAACGCGCTATCCACTGCGTTACTGGGACGCACAATGGCAAATTTCACTCTTTATGTAATGTGACAAGTATTCGTTGTCTTGCTAATAATGTAGTAATGTTAAAAAATATATGCACATATATTTGATCATGCCTGGTGGGTTTCGAAACCACGACCTTTGGATTAGAAGTCCTATGCGGTATCCACTGCGCTACAGGGACGCAATGACTAGTTTCACTCTTTAGGTAATGTGAAAAGTATTCATCATCTTGCTAATAAAGTAGTAATGTCTAAGAAAAATAAACTCTCACATATATTTGACCATCCCTGTTGGGAATTGAACCAACGACTTTTGGATTAGACGTCCTTGTGCTATCCACTGCGCTACAGGGACGCAATGGCTGTTTTAACTCATTAGGTTTGGTGACAAGTATTCATACTCTTGCTAATAAAGTACAGTAATGTTTAAAAAAATGAAAAGAACAGATATTTCATCATCCCTGGTGGGATTCCAACGCGCGACATTTGGATTAGAAGTGCAACGCGCTATCCACTGCACTGCTGGGACGCAATGACAAATTTTACTCTTTATGTAATGTGACAAGTATTCATTGTCTTGCTAATAAAGTAGTAATACTAAAAATAAAAGCACAGATATTTGATCATGCCTGGTGGGATTCGAACCCACGACCTTTGGATTAGAAGTCCAACGCGCTATCCCCTTCGCTACAGGGACGCAATGACTCGTTTCACTCATTAGGTAATGTGACAAGCATTCATCCTCTTGTTAATAAAGTTGTAATGTTAAAAGAAAATAAATGCATTGAGATATTTGAATAACGCGCTATGCACTGCTCTACAGGGACGCAATGACAAATTTCACTCATTAGGCAATGTGACATGTATTCATCCTCTTGCTAATATAGTAGTAATATTAAAAAAATAAATGCACAGATATTTGATCATCCCTGGTGGGATTTGAACCCACGACCTTTGGATTAAAAATCCAATTCATTATCCACTGCGCTACAGGGACGCAATGTCTAATTTTACTCATTGTGTAATGTGACATGTATTCATCCTCTTGCTAATAAAGTAGTAATGTCTAAAGAAAATAAAAGCACTGATATTTCATATCCCTGGTGGGATTCGAACCCACGACTTTTGGATTAGAAGTCCAACGCGCTATCCACCGCGATACAGGGACGCAACGACAAACTTCACTTATTAGGTAATGTGACATGAATTCATCCTCTTGCTAATAAAGCAGTAATGTTAAAAAAAAATATATGCACAGATACTTGATCATCCCTGGTGAGATTCGAACCCACGACCTTTGGATTAGAAGTCCAACGCGCTATCCACTGCGCTACAGGGACGCAATAACAAATTTCACTTATTAGGTAATGTGAAAGGTATTCATCCTCTTGCTAATAAATTAGAAATGTTCAAAAAATAAATGCAAAGATATTTGATCATTCCTAGTGGTATTCGAAACCACGACCTTTGGATTGGAAGTTCTAAGCGCTATCCACTGCGCTACAGGGACGCAATGACAAATTACACTCATTAGGTAATGTGACATGTATTCATCCTCTTGCTAATAAAGTAGTAATGTTTATAAAAATACATGCACAGATATTTGATCATCCCTGGTGGGATTCGAACCCACGACATTTGGATTAGAATTCCGACGCGCTTTCCACTGCGCTACAGGGACGCTATAAAAAATTTCACTTATTAATTAATGTGAAAAGTATTCTTCCTCTTGCTAAAAGTAGTAATGTTTACAAAAAAAAATTCACAGATATTTGATCATCTCTGGTGGGATTCGAACCCACGACTTTTGGATTAGAAGTCCAACGCGCTATCCACTTTGCTAAAGGGACGCAACGTCACATTTCACTTATTAGGTTATGAGACAGGTATT